AACATTTAGCCTTCACTATGTCCCAAACTTCTCAAGATTCTTTTATTAGTATTGTCTAACATTTGCTAAGGAAAAATTTTCTTTTATGATGTCTCCAAATGCTACTTCCAAGATGCTATATCATTATATTGCCAATAAGACACTATTTCAATGATAATTTTTCAATTTCTCTCAAAGTTTTAATTTCTTCAATTTCACATACCCTTCAACAAATAAATATGCCTCAGCCCTAGTATTCCTTTCTGCTCATTAGTGGTATATGTAGACTTGTTCTTATGAATTCCCAGCAGGCAAATAATATAATTTTACCTTCTCTGTAAAGTACTAGCATTTGGAAGGTTAAGTTTAACTCTGGGTCACTAGGATGATAATGGGGACACACTACGAATTACTGAAGTGGCAAATGCCTTGGGATGTTGGATCTTGACATCAGAAAGGGTCAATAGGATGCAGAGTAGCCAGCCCCAAGTCTCTTAGATTAATAAAAAGCTCACCTGTGTGCACACGAGCACACACATGCACACATACACACATATTTAAAAGCTGAAGGAGTGCTTGAAGTGGAAGTGGAAGCAGAGGTGGAGGTAAAGAAAAGAAAAGAAATATTTCCCTCAGGAGGTATCATGGGGTGAAAGACACTCACGGTCTAAAAGCCAATTACAAAGAACAGAAGCTCTGGGGTTGGAGACTACCACCCTGGAGCTGACTCTGTCCCGGGTGCAGCAGCTCTGGCCTTTGCTTGCAGAGATGCCCCAGCCCTCTTGTGACACCTTAAATACAGCCCTGGAAATTTAACAGAGTGTGAGGGTTAATGTAAGATACAGCCTCAGCTCTGATTTATAAAATAGCCAAATCATTCACAGAATGCAGCGCTTTCACCCTAAGAATCCGTGATTTGTGACAGAGCCCACCACAGGAGGGGGCGCCCTGTGTGGAAAGAGGGGCATGTGGATGGAGATTGGATCTGGGAATTGTTTGCATATGGTATTAGCGAAATCCGTGGTGAGAATGAACTTATCCGAGAAAGTGAAGACTGAGAAGAAAAGCAGCATTTAACATGTGGATTAAGGAAAGAAGTATCATCATATGGGATTTGAGAGGGAAGAAGGGACCATCCTTTTTAATATTGCAACCTGCCCCCCCCCACATTCACTCCCAACATTCTTTATTCTAATTCAACTTTTCTGTTTCCTATAGCATTTATCACCTACTAAAATGCTATATAATTTACTTTTAAATTGTTTTATTGTGTTTTGTTATGTATCTTCCCTGCCCTCTGTCCTTTACTGGAAGGTAGGCTCCATGAGGATAGATGTCTTTGTCTGTTGATGTATTCCAAGTAGGTAGAACAGTGCATGGTTCTTTGGAGGTATCTAGTAAATATTTATTGAATGAATGAAAAAAATAACAATGTCTCAAGAAGTAAGTCTTGGTCAACAGTGTGAAAAACTGCAAGAAAGTCACCTGAAGCAGGTGAGGCAATTAGTAATCCATTGGTGTTCTAAGAAGAAGCCATTTCAATGGTGTGATGGGAATAGAAGTTGGTCTACATTGGGGTTACAGAATGGATGGTAGGTGAGGAAGCAGGAAGGGCCAAGAGGAGTTACTCTTTCAAGAGCCTTTGCTGGGGAATAGAGAAAAGAATGGTACTTACAGGAGGACCTGGGGTCAAAGGAGAGTTTTACATTATTTGTTGTTGTTGTTTTTTAATGGAGGAGACTTTCAGGACAATGGTAGAACGTGATCTTGTCCCCGGAAGTGGTGAAGGGATCAGCTTTGCATTGTGGGAAGGACACTTTAGTGGTGTGGAGAGTGTGGCCTGGGGCAAGGGCCCAGTTAGGCCACTACTTCAAAGAGGATGGGAGCGCTGCTGGCCCTGACACTGCCCTGGGGTCTTCTCCACTGGCCGTAAGGGATCGATCACCTTTTTATCTCCTCCACCCAACACTTCCTTTTCTATCTCTGGAATTTCCTCTGAGATCAGCAGTCTCCTCTTAATTTCTTCTCTGGAACTTCACCTCCTGGCTTGAGGTGAAACCTGCCTGTCCCCTGAAGGTACTATCTCCCCTCTTGCTCAGGCTGTGTGTTTCTGTCAGCCTCTCTGTGCTGACCACTGACCACTGACCACTCCCTATATAGTGTGTCTAGCCCAGGTCGCTTGTGAACCCTGGATCTAGACATTGAGTCTAAAATGTCTCCGACATACTCCCATTATTGTGAGGGTTTTTTGTTGGTTTTTAAATTAAACACTAACTTCCTGGCACTACAAGCTGCTTCAGGATCACTTAATATATTACTTGCCTCAGTCCTAGAATCAGTCATTTTTCCAAGGAGTCCTGATTCTTTTTATTGGAGAATGGTGTTAAAAACCAAGCCAAGCGCTGGTGCTTAGTGTGCTTATTGCTCCTGGGGTGTAATCATTTCTAACAGCTGACAGAGCAAGGAAATATACATGCATACTAACCTACATATATGCACATACCTGTAAATATTTCTATATGTAACCATCTGTAGCAATATTAAGCTAAACATGAGTTCATACTGTTGTCTCCAGCTCCAATCTATTACCCTGCTGTAGAGTACCCCTACTCCTTTCCTCACTTACCTGCAACCTTTCACTGTGAGAAACCTGGCTTTTGCCATCTGCTCTCCACTTACTTAATTGTTCAATTCAAGTACACATGTATGTTTAGCAGTATCAGAATTGTTCATCTTTACCTCCATGGGAAACAACTTTATTAATTAGAGTCTAGTCCTCGTGTATAGTACCTTTCTCTTGTCACCTCACTGTTTCCAAAATGTGAACCGCTTCCCAAATTTGTGTGTCATCCTTGTGCAGAGGTCATGCTAATCTTTGCTGTATAGCTTTAATTTTAGTATACGTGCTGACCAATTGAGCACAATAATCAAACTTTTAACAAAGAAGTGGCAGGGGTAATTGGACCATATGTTGCTCATCATCCAGCAGGCAAGCCTGAACTCAATCACCTGGTTGTGTTCAAAGGGGTTTTCAATAGCAGAAAGAGTGGGCCCCAAAGTGTAAGTTGCTTCTCAAGTTTCTCCTTGCTTTACTTTTGCTGATGTCTCCTTGGCCAAAGCAAGCCATATGGTCAAGTCTAGATTCAAAGGGTGAAAAAGGAAACCCCGTCTCTTGGTGGCAGGAGCTGCAGAACCATGTTGCAAAAGGGCATGCCTATGGAATGAAAGGGGTTTGTGGTCTCGAGTGAGAAGGAGGAGATGTCATGATGAGAAAAATAAGTTGAGTAAACTTACAAGTGTTTTCCCCCACCATTGAGTAGTTATATATTGAGAAAAAATGAAGGTTGCCCTCCAGAAAAATATGGATGCTGGCTGATAAGAGTGAAAACACACTGGGAACAGGAAACAATGGAATAGGACTTGCAGGGCTATGAGTGGAGTGCTCAGAGCATCTGCTGCACACGCTTTTGGAAATAGGAACCAAACCTTCTGAGTTTTCAATAGGTAAAGGCGTGAGAAATTTGTCTGTTGGAGGCTAAGGACATTCTTTTTTCTCTTGAGGACATTATTTCTGAAGGCATTTTAAAAATGTGAGCAGCTGATCAGATTTCAATAGGAGACATGTTTTGTATATTTAGGACCAGCAAAGCCCTGAAAATTTTACCCCAAACTCCCCCATGGCCATGTTATTGAACTCCGAAACACCAAATATGAAAATGCTTAACAGAGAGACCTAGAAATCATACTTTACTCTGCAAATGTATAATGTAAATCTTAAACCAGGAATTCTCTGTAATCTCACAAGGTTAGCAACACCTTGGTTATTTTTAAGTCAATACTGAATTATATCTACTCTGTTCTGACACTGATTTATGAGTTTCTTTATATCTTAGTCCACTGTCCAAGTTAATCATTAATTCCCACTCCATTTATTGAGAGGGCTCAGTACAGTCTTAAGTACATACTATAGAACTGAATTATCAAACGACTTAATTTGGAGTGTTTGGGTATTGAGTGCTTTTAACACTTTGCCGAGTTTCACTCTACGAATGTGATAGAGGAAACTTCTATGAGTCCAAAATATCCAAGGGGATGACACTCTCTTCCACATTAAAAAAGAAAGTCAAATTCTTCCCTCACAGCTTAACTTCATTTAAAGACTGACAGCATCCTTGTCCAGATTGGATGTGATGGATATTTTCATTTCCTGCAACATATTTAAATATGGTCTTTCCCCTACTTTATAAATTAGAGTTGAATATCAATGAAATGTGCTGGATCTGTCTTTCCCATAATGATGCTGCATAGAAATCACCACAAAATCCCAGTGGCATTCAACCATAAGCATTTATTGTCAGACTCACAGGCCTGTGGGTCTTCTCGGATGAGTCTCTTTTAAGCTGCAGGTGTGTGGGTTGTCGGGGTCAGATCTGCTCCAGGTGTCTTATTATGGACCTAGGCTGGAGGGAGGCAGCATCTACCTGGGATATGTTCTTCTGGTAATGGACAGAAGCTCCTAGAGCGACAAACGGAAGCATTCAATACCTGTTAAGACTGAGGCCTGATCTAGTGCACTGCCCCTTCCACATTCCACTGGCCAAAGCAAGACAACAAAATTACAACCAAAGGCAGGAGTGGGTAACAAATACTGCCCACTAAGAGGCAAGGGTGAGATGTACAAAATCTCCAGAATAGTAAAGAATTTGGGCCAACAATTCCATCCGCCACAGACAGAGGGGTGGTTACTTATGGAAATAAAGATTTCCTTGGACACTTAATAGGCCATGTTTTATATGGTTCGTTGATATTTAGCGCTTAAACTGAAATTGCTTAATTGTGCTTCTTGATTCGTCTGATGCTGGGAGAATTCAGAGATACTTTTCAACATGCTTACTTGAAATAGTGATAAAGGGTTTCATTTGTTTTTCTTCTATCTCCAACTAAGCTTGCAAATGGGACTTCTTCCTGTGCTGACCTCTTCTTCCTCTTCATTGTCTATTAACATTTTTATTTTCATTCAGCCCTGAGGTACTGAAGAGTGAGCCATATGGGGAGAAGGCTGACGTCTGGGCAGCAGGCTGCATCCTTTATCAGATGGCCACTCTGAACCCCCCCTTCTATAGCACCAACATGCTCTCCCTGGCTACAAAAGTAAGAAAGTTTGGGGGACCCAAGGGTCTCATGCTGCTAAAAATGCCATTCCTCTTTTTCTTGAATAAAACTTTTGTGATTTTTAATAAAGCTCTCAATTAAAATGAGGCATTGTTTTATTAACCGCATAGTCCAGTTTATTTTTTCCCTTTTCTAAATGTGCTATGGCCCTTTTTTTTCTATAATTGTCTTCATTTATCATAGAGAATTATAAAATAAATATAACAAAATACTTTGGGTCTGTTATTTTTTATTGCGGTTTGGATTACTTACAATCCAGCATTTTATATTATCCTCCAGGTCATTAATATGAATCTGGGGTTAACTTTAGCTCAGTTTGAAGAATACAATACCAAGTCCAAGAACTGTTTAATTGATGTTAGTTTTTCATTTGTTGGGATGTTTTTGTTTCTGATTAAAATTTATGCACAAAGTTATAATGCTTACTGAGTAACTCTCATGTTGTGGCCAAGTGTTACTGCTCCAAAAATATCAATGGCCCCTTTACTTCCTTCATTCCACTCTGTTTGTTTTGCAGATAGTGGAGGCGGTATATGAGCCAGTGCCAGAAGGCGTCTACTCTGAAAAAGTGACAGATACCATCAGCAGGTAATTAGTCTCACAGCTTTGACCATACAGAAACTATCAAGAAATAACCTCACATGTACATACATTCACTGTGTAAATATTCATGAAGAGAAAGGGCTCTGAAATAATTCAAACCTAGAAAAATGTTTGTGCACCCTCTGTAATAGTGACCACTGGAAGCCATGAAGTGTCCAAGAGGAAGCAGTACATTTACTTGAAATATTATGCAACCACTAGAATGATGGTTATGAAAGGCTCTGTATCAGTCTATAAAACATGTACAATGTGAAGCTAAGTACAAACAGGATGTGAAGCTATTATTTATAACTAGGACCAAAAACGTGAAAATATGCATGAATGTGGGAAAAAGCTGGACTAGAACATATGAAACTGAAAAAGGCTGTGTTAAATATAAACCTGTAAGCATTTTTCATTTCTGTTTTTAAATCAGTAATGTTATATTGTACAATAAATATTCAAAGAAAGTCAGAAAAGTTTCCCGGCTATCAGTATAGTAGGAGTCATGCAAGTCGTTATCCGTTCGCTAAGTTCTGACCCCACAGGGCTTGTCGCAGCCGACCTCTCACCCCATCCCCTCCCACCTTCCCACTTTCCCCCGCCTCCAGCCATAGACTTCCCTGTTCATCCTGGCCTGCGCCTTCCCCCTGGACCTTGGTCCCTGCTCTTGCCTCCTGGAACTCTCTTTTCTCTGATACACTCATGGCGCAGGCCATCACTTCCCATGGGTCTCTGCTGAAACGTCCCCATTTCAGGAAGCACCCCGATGCCCCCACAGCCTCTCCCACTCTCTTGCCTTCTTTCATGCTTTATAAAGCTCACAGCATGCATCACCATGATATGTTATGCATGGGTATGCAGATTTGTTTCTTTATTATATTTCTCTTCCCACTAGAATGAAAACTCCACAAGAGTGGGGTTCTTCAGTTTAGCTCTTCAGTTCAGTGCCCAGAGGAATACCTGGCACCAAGTAGACCCTTAACAAATACTGGTTGTATGAATGCATGTCTCTCATTTATCTGGTTGATTGTTATTTCTGGACCATTTTATACACTTATGTTGGCCTGAGATTACTTCTCTGCCCCACTGAGCTGAGAAAAATCCTCATTATTATAACGGAAAGCCTAGAGCCAGCCCAGATAGACTCTTTCTCCATCTCCCTGCCCAATTTCCTTAAACTCAGTTCTGTATCTACCCTAGCTCTCAGCACCATCTCTGATGGGATGTCATAGACACATTACCAGCCCATTGTTTTCCACTAGTAGGTCCTCCTCACAGATTTGTAGGATTATATCTGGAATCTTTCCTCCTTCAGCACAATGCAGCCCTCAGGCCCAGCTGGGGTTAAGTTTCACTAATGACGGATTCTGAACAAACAATTTGACCACTCTTTTCTGCATCTCTGTTTCCTCATTCAGGCTGGTGTGATGATGATATAGAGTACCTATACAAATCACATAGCACAAGCTTGGCACATGGTAAATCTTGAGCAACATTGGCAAGTGTCATTGTTAATATTACGGGAAATGAGCTGAAAACGTTTTCCAAATCGTCTGAATTCTGCATATGCTGGATCATGCCCCGTTGCTAATGAATCCAGACAGATGTATTTAAACTGCTCATCTCCATGATTTGCTCCTGTCCTCTATTTGTTTTCTGTGAAGTGCCTGAAAAAGTCAAGAAGTCTCCAGAGATGTGAAGACAAGGAGTACCAGATTTACTCATTTAATTTCTCCATTTCATAGGTATTTGATTGCCACGAAGAGCAGGGGAGGCATAGTGCAGAGAAAAAAAAACAGAGGCATTATTCTGATTTTGTGTCACCGGGCAAACAGGACCCTAACTTGCTTCTCACAGGGTTCCTGTCTGCTGGTACCCAGGCCTCCTGGGGCTAAGAGGCTTGGCAGGATCAGATATCAACATTATCATGTAAAGGTTAAGACCATCAATAGGTTCTGGAATCGACTGGATTCTAATTCTTCCATCCTCAGGCACCATTTTTCTCATCTGTGATGTATGGGTGGCAACAGTAATTAATACTCATGGGCTTGTTTTCAAGCCTAAATCAGGTAATGTGTCTGATGCTCTTAGCACAGTGCCCAGCATGCAGTGAGCCCTCAATAAAACTAGGTATTGTTATTAATACCATTATCACTTATGGAGTTAAGTATATAAAAGAAATTTATGATAAATTCAGTGAAGAATAGGAAAGGGAGCACTAAGAGATTACAGAAGGACTTGGCGTACTCTGGGAATTGGGGAAGTTCCTGTGAAAAAAGGACATGTAATCTGAGGCCTGAACAATCACCGATTCTCAAATAGTAAACAGAGCATAGTAAGAATCTCATAGGCCAACATCTGTGAAGGCTTTCCTGAGGGAAAGAGCGTGTTAATTTGAGGAACTGAAAGAAAGTGGTGATGTAGTATGTTAAGTAGGGCATGGAATCGCCAGCGACTCATTAGGGCCTGGGGAGGCCAACGGGCCACATTGGCCAGGTCCTATAGGCCACATTGAGCACTTTGAGTTTTTATCTCGAGTATTGAGGAGAGGACTAAAGGGTTATTAACAGGCAGAGACGTGGTGAAAGTTTCCTCTTTAGCAAAGATCAATGGGGGATGGACTGGAGGGAAAGAGAGTGGGAGGGAGACGGAGGTCCAGCTGTCCACTGAGAGGTGATGGCGGCCTTGACTGCAGTGGTGTTGGTGTTGATGGGGAGAAGTAGGGTTGTTTCCATTGTGGGTTGGAATTTGAGTCAACAAGTTTGGGGGTACAATTAAAAAAATGCTTTTGTTAACTGGGACAATTGAATGGTGTTGAAAATATAAAAACAATTGGATTTATTCTGTGGAACGTTAGAAAATGGAGCCAAGACCGTGAAGTGGAAGTTCCGAGGAGGCCAAGGTCAGCTCATTAGGAAGTGTGTGTCATAATTGGAAATACACAGTAGAGCAGGCTACTGGATGAGTAGTGAGTTCCCTGTCACCAGAATGTTAAAGAGGATGAATGATCACTGTTAAGAGACTCGAGATGAAATTTTTTGAGACTATGTTTTATTCAAAATAATAAGATGCCATAACAAGTAAGAACTGACCATTAATTTTACAACTGACTATAAATTAAGATTACAGTGTGCATTCTGTAACAGATGTTGTTTTCATTTAAAGTTATTCGAGACTCATTGTCTAGGTTCACATCACACATAAAGTTTTATCTTTAGAAGCTTTGACATAAAAAAACAAAGTCAGTCATGAGCTGCATGCAGTTGCATATTTAATTTGCTTTGGATTTTTAGTCTTTAAAAATTAAGTTCCAAAAGAATTAGGGTACAAATTGAATTTCCTATTTTCTTCAGGAAATTGATACAAGGGATGCAGGAAGGCAAAAGTGTTCTTAATCATTTATGACTCAGCAAACCAGGCTCAGAGCCAGTCACTAGTAACGTTATAAAGCTTTTGAAATATAAGAGAACCACTGATGGGAAAGTTCACCAGACTCAGTCTTAATTTTAAACCAGGTGCTGTTTCCAATCACATATAGCGTCTTCCTTCATCTGCTGTATCATCTTCTCATGTTTACTTTCTACATTTTGTCAGGGAAATCTCCTACACTTTGCATTTCTAATGTGCAGCATCTTTCTCTTTTCCTGTTTGTTCATGCGATGTACAAGCACATTTTGTTGCTGGACGCTTTCTTTCTTAACAGGCTTTTAAATTGGGAGAATATCTTAGCAACTCTGAAGAGTTTGGAGCAGAAAATAAATCCATTTCATTGCTTTGTCCAGTACCAGCATTACTATTTTTTACCTTCCAGCACACTGTTAAGAGGCTATTGTCTGTTTACTTTCTAAAAAGGCAGAGCACTACCTATTATGCACAAAATATTCCAATTGCCTTATTTTTCTCTATCTGTGCCTGGTTGCATAAGCTGGTTGGCACTTTTTGTTTCTGAGGCAGTCATGAGACTAACAAAGTTAATACTTTCAGCCAGTTCTAAGGACAAGTGGATCATTAAATTTTCCACCCCACCTTCAACTCGTTGTTTCTTAAAACATGAAATGAACAGAATTGAACATTGCATCCTCTAATTCTTTCCATCTGGTCTCTCA